ATCATCACTCTGTGTGTGTGTGTGTGGGGGGGAGGCTTTGGAAATTTGGGAGAATTTCTCAGGTGATGCTCAGATTCAGGATAAACTGGAATTGCATCCGATATTCTGGAGCTACGGGAGCTCTGGTAGCATAGTGGCTAAGGCACTTGACTGCTAACCAGAAGGCTGGCGGTTCAAACCCACCAGCCACTCCTCGGAAGGAAGGTTGGGCAATCCTACTTCCGTAGTGATACTGCCTCGGAAACCCAAGGAGGGGTCGCTATGAGTCAGGGCTGACTCGACGGCACATAACAACAACAACAACAACAACATTCTGGAGCTACTGGAGTCTGAACACAACTCTGCTCTCATGAAAAAACCGAGCTGGTTAATGAAGTTCTTTTTGTTCTTGCAGTTCTTTCAATGGGGAAGATAGAGAAGCTGATCATTTTCATCCTTGTCATCAATGTTTTGGTAATGGGCCGGGTGAGCTGGGTAAGCTTATTGAAAAACAAGTAGTACGTTTACAATGCCTGCTCTTCCCCATATTTTCTTTATGTTGAAGAAAGTCTATAGTAACTTATCACTGAAAAAATTTAAGTGACATGTAGTAGGTACTTCTTGTTGTTGTTATGTGCCATCGAGTTGGACCCAACTCATAATGACCCCTCCTTGGGTTTCCGAGGCAGTATCACTACGGAAGTAGATTGCCCAAGGAGGCAATCTTCTTTCCGAGGAGGGGCTGGTGGGTTTGAACCACCAGCTTTCTGGTTAGCAGTCAAGTGCCTTAGGCACTATGCTACCAGAGCTCCAGGTACTTAGTAAGCACTTAATAATAAGTTAAGTGCTTATTATTAAGTTATAATAATAAGTTAAGTTAAATGTGTCTTTAGCCCCCTTTATACTGGTGGTGTAGTGGTTAAGGCATTTGGCTGCTAACCAAAAGATTGGTGGTTCAAACCCACCAGCCACCCTGCACCTTACTTTTTATTTAAAGTAAAAATCAGCTTTCACAACAAGCAAGTAAAATCCTTTTGAATTCACTAGGGATATTGGGTTGGTTATGTAATATGAGAAATTACAACTCTCAGTAATAATTAACAGTGACTTTGGGCTTTCCAGTATGGAACCTATTAATGTAAACTAAACAGATTAACTTATTTCTGTGTTCAGAAGTGAAAAGGACAAAATGAGTAAATTCTGAAGAAAGAAAATTCGTAAGTTTTAAATAAAGTTTACTAAAACCTTATATGTAGTCTCATAAAGATTGAACATACCTGGCCTGAAAGCCCTTCGTTATTGTAAAAGTGCACAGTTCACTATATTTAATTTCTCACTACTGGAAAGCAACACCAGGAGATGTTCTTCATGTTTATTTTTAGACTGGTGTGATTCAAGGGCTAAGTGAATAACTCAGAGAGGATAAATCAAAGAGTGATGAGTAGAGAGTAACAAGATCAGATGATACCAACTTCTATGGAGTCAATTCTAGCTCATTTGTGTCAGAGTACTATGCCCTACAGAGTTTTCAATGGCTAATTTTCCAGAAGTAGATTGCCAGGCTTTTCTTTTGAGGTACCTCTGGGTGGACGCAAATTTACAAAGAAATGGTCCTAGAGAAATAGCTGAGAGATTTAGTGAATTGGACAAGGAGATGGAAAGGAGGGCATAAGAGAGTCTCTATCACCACTTTTCCATTCTCTTGCTATATGGCTTTTGGTTTTGAGTCTGAATTTTTATATTTATATTTATAGTCCTAAATAGGAATGCAGTGTACCTCTTTCCTTTGTCCATTTCCTTTGCCTGAAACACAGTAACTGAAAAAACAAAACAAAACAAAAACAACAAAAAACCCATTGCCATTGAGTGCATTCTGACTCATAGTGACCTTACAGGACTATGATTAGAAGTATATTTCTAACTTCTAGAGTAGAAGTTCCCTTGGATTGTCAATGCTGTAAATCTTTATGAAAGCAGACTGCCACTTTTCTCCCAAAGAGCTGCTGGTGGGTTTGAATCACAGAACTTCCAGTTAGCAGATGAGTGCTTTATCCACTGCACCACCAGGACTCTCTCTGGAACACATAAATATGAGGACTTACTGTATTGTGTGGAACATAGTAGGTCCTAATATTTATAGAAGGAGTACCAGATAGTACATAAAGATAGGTATAGGAAGTTATGCAAATATAAATTGGGAAATACACTTCTAATCAAATGAATTTTAACTAATAATATACATAAAATAGTAGAAGACAATTGTGCATTAAAATTCATAATATCTCAAAAGGAAACATTTTGCTTATCATAGAGGGTCATGGTGTGAACTGTAAATAGAGACCCTCTCCCATGCCCTCCTTCCTACCTCCTTGTCCAAGTCACTGAATCTCTCAGTATTTTCAAAATAAAAATGACAAAACAGTAAAAACGTGTCTTTAGCCCCCTTTTTACTGGTGGTGTAGTGGTTAAGGCATTTGGCTACTAACCAAAAGATTGGTGGTTCAAACCCAGCAGCCACCCTGCAGAAGAAAGTTGGGGCAGTCTGCTTCTGTAGAGATTTATAGCCTTAGAAACCCAATGAGGGTTGCTATGAGTTGGAACTGACTTGATGGCAGTGAGTTTGTTTTGGTTTTGAGTGACTTACTAACCAAAAGGTTAGTAATTCAAGTTCACCCAAAGGCACCTCAGAAGAAAGTTCTGGTGAACTACTTCTGAAAAGTCAGCTATTGAAAACCATATAGAGTACAGTTCTATTTTGACACACATGGGGTCACCATGAGTTGAAATCTACTAGATGGCAACTGGCAGTGACTTTCTTGGTATGGAGTACTGGATACACTTTATTGCAGCTTTTTTGTTCGCTGTAACTCTTCCCAGGAGACCCACCTTTGCAATTTTCCTTTCCAGTTCACCTATTAAATTTGATTTTCTTTAGAGAGCTTTGCTCAGTCAGATGCCACATTGGAAAGGAGCTGATAAACTCTCTCACAATGTGGTATTCTTCAGTTACATGCTTGTTTTGGTTCTCTAGTGCTGCTCTAACAGAAAATGCCACAAGTGGATGGCTTTAACAAACAAGGATTATACTCTTACAGCTAGCTCTAGGGGCTATACTCTTACAGCTAGCTCTTACAGGTAGCTCTAGGGGCTGGGTGAAGGCCCCTCGACCTTGGGCTTTAGCTCTGTCTCTTGTTCCTGGCCCACTGGAGCTGGAGGCATCTCTTATTTCAGGCAGCTGCTGTCTGCTGAGGATGACAAACCCAAGGCTGACAAATAAAATGGCATAGTCCCAGGATTATCAAGCAACATGGCAGGCTACCAGTTCAAGTCTGGAAACAGTTCCAGGATTGGTGGGTAACATGGCAGGCTGCTGAATGAAGACTCAGTTAAGTGCAGGGTCCAAGCGTGCTGAGAAGCTGAATGATCTTTCTCAAAACTTATATAGAGGAAACAGACCCCATCCCTAAGGCAGCTACTCAGCTGCTCACAGCAGAATCCACCATGGAGTTGATTACCAGTCTCATCATAGGGAATCACTACATCCAGCTGCCCAGCCACTCACAACCAGGCCCAGCCAAGTTGACACACAACCTTAACCACCACAGGCCTTTTAAAATACTATTTTAACTGGAATGTTTCAGGCTCCTCCCATCCTTTTTAATAAGTAGCCGAGGGAAAAATAACAAATAAACAAAACATTAAAGTGACTCCAGTACAATTTTCAGCAACAAGTACATGGATAAGATTCTTGGAGATATTGTTGCTGCTGCTAGGTGCCATCAAATCGACTTTCAACTCATAGTGACCTTATATGACAGAGTAGAACTGCACCATCAGGTTTTCATGGCTATAATCTGTATGGGAGAAAATCATCTTTTGTTCCTTGGGCCCCCTGGATGGGTTTGAATTGCCAGTCTTTACATTAGCAGCCAAAAGCTTAACCATTGCACCACCAGGGTTTCTTCTTGGAGATATAATGGTCTGACTTAGCATCCCTTATAAAGATGACCAAAGGAGCATTGATGATGGTAGAGTGGTTAAAGCATTTGGGCTGCTAAGCAAAAGGTATGCAACTAAAATCCCCCAACCACTTCGCAGTCTGCTTCTGTAAAAATTTACAGCATTGGAAACTCTATGGGACAGTTCTACATTGCCCTACAGTGTCACAAATTGACTCAATGGCAATGGATTTATAAAAATGACCACATGTTACCTAGTATAAGCATTAAATTATATTTTTGACACATGCTTGTACCAAAAGTTTATTTAAAAATCTCAGTTATTACAGCAATTGGTATATTAATACTGCAATTAACATCTGTAAAGCACTTTACAGTTCAGAAAACACTTGTTGTTCCTGTTAGGTGCCATTGAATTGATTTCAAATCATAGCAACACCATGTACAACAGAATGACACACTGACCAGTCCTGTGCTATCCTCACAACCCTTGCTATACTTGAGCCCATTGTTGCAGACACTATGTCAATTCATTTCCTTGAGGGTCTTCCCCTTTTTTGCTGACCCTCTACTTTACCAAGCATGATATCCTTCTCCAGGGACTGGTCCACCATGAGTTACCCTGCTGGTATTCAAAAGTGGTGGCATAGCCTCCAGCATCACAGCAAGACCCAAACCGCCACAGTACAACACACTGACAGATGAGTGGAGGAGAAAACACTTAGGCAGAGATTGAGAGCATAAACTTTGAACTGGACTCCTTGTGCTTAATCTTGAACAAGTGCTCTCACCAGGAATGAACCCATTCCTTCCTCTTTGAATTTTTATGAAGAGTAAATGAAATGATGACTGTAAAGCTCTTAGCATGGCCATTCTGATTTTATTTCTTTACTTCAGGATATTTACCATGCCCCATAATTTCTTATTCTTCAAATAACAAATAGTAGTAGAACTTTTCGAACAACTTTCTGGGTTGAATAGTATTCTGAAATAGAGGTTGGGGATAAAAATGGAATCAATGGTTAATTCAGTTTAATAGGAGCATTTACTTTCCATGAAATTTCATTCTGCAGGCTCTTGAGGACTGTCTGCAGGAGCAGGCCCGGCTCAGAGCCCAGGTGCACTTGCTTGAAACCCGCGTCAAACTGCAACAGGTCAAGATTGGTCACCTTTTGCATGAGGGGGAAGTCCAGTTCCTAGATAGAGGAGAGGAGAATAGTGTCATTGACCTGGGAGGCAAGAGGGAGTATGCAGGTGAGAATCTATTTTTAATAAGTGTTTTAATAATCTGTATAAAACACTCATGTGCAATGATGACTCTAGTTATTTGTTTGCTTTGTTTTCCCTCTGAAACTGTGTTGTGGTTCAGAGTGGCAAATAATGTAATAGAATCAGAAGGTCAGGAATGGAAAAAAAAAAATCAGAATAATTCAGTAAAATAAACAGGGTTGTTTTTACATGTCACGTATATTTTATCATCTAGTAATTTTTCTTTGGATTAGGCCAGTATTTTCCCCTGGAAACTAAATGATCTTAAAACTGTGAACACGTTACATATATTCTTTTACATGTTGTTGTTATGTGCTGTTGAGTTGGCCTCGACTCATAGCGACCCCTCCTTGGGTTTATGAGGCGGTATCGCTATGGAAGTAGATTGCCCAACCTTCCTTCTGAGGAGTGGCTGGTGGGTTTGAACTGCCAGCCTTCTGGTTAGCAGTCAAATGCCTTAGGCACTACACCACCAGAGCTCTTTATTTGACTTCCACCAGAAGTAAAAGACTTTTTTTTTTTTTAAGTAGCAAACAATAGTTGTCAGAAACAAAAGTGATGGCACCTAGAGCACTCTTTCATATGTGTGCTTTAGCATTGGAGTCCCTGGGTGGTGCAAACGGTTAATGCGCTTGCCATGCACCTAAAGGCTAGAGGTTTGAATGCATCCAGAGGCTTCTCAGAAGACAGGCCTGGTGATCTGCTTCTAGAAAATCAGCCATTGAAGACCCTATGGAGCACAATTCTACTCTCACACACATGGGGTTGCCATGAGTCAGAATTGACTCAACAACAGTTTGTTTGTTTGTTTGTTTTAACTTAGCACTACCATGATGTATTATAGATTTCTTTTTATGGCTGTATCTTGATCAATTAACTGGACACTTCAAGGGATTGGCTCATAAAATTGTGGAAAGTCCAAGATCCGTAGGTCAGGCAACAGGCTGGAAGCTCTGCTGGCTCATGGATTGTGGGTAACTTGCAAGTCTAAAATCTGTAGGTCAGGTGAAATTGGAGACTTCTGCAGGCTTGTGTTCCAAAATCTGTAGATTAGACCACACCCTAAGGAACTTGCCTTTCAATTAATTCATTGATTAGATTACATTTTGTAAAGGGACTACATGACATTACATTACATATGGAACAGCATCTAGTCTATTGTTTGGCATAAAACACAGGAAACCATAGCCTACCCAAGTTGATGCATAAAATTAATCATCACAGTTATATTCCAACTACAATAAACTTGTTTCAATTTCTTAAAAGCATTCTGCTGTCCTCAGTCTTTAAGACTTTGCATTAGCCCTTTTGTCTGTCTGGGATAGTCTACTCTACCTAGCCTACCACCATTATTCATCCTTCAGATGCCAGTTTAGCTCTCCCTTCTTCCAGGAAACTATTCCCGACCTTAAAGTCTGGGTTAGCTACTACTTCTGTGCATTCCAAAAACACCTTTTATTTTTCTTCTTATCACTTATCATGGAGTACTGTCACTGACACTTAGTTGTCCATCTTTTCTACTATATGTTTTAGTTTATTACTGTAGCTTCAGCATCTAATATGGTGACTTGTTGTTGTTGTTATGTACTCATAGTGTCCCCTCCTTGGGTTTCTGAGGCAGTATCACTATGGAAGTAGATTGCCCCATCTTCCTTCTGAGGAGTGGCTGGTGGGTTTGAACCACCAGCCTTC